AGTAGGAATGGATATTTGACTAGCAAGAATCTTATTTTAGAGATCAACAAATGGAACAATAGAGGACAGCGCTTCTAATAAATGTCAAACCGACCTGCCATAAGCTCTAGCTCGTCTGTTCCATTTGACCCATATTTATGCTGCGTGCTCCAGTTCTCCTTCTCAAGAACCCACTTGAGAAAGGACCATAGACATTACGGACAGCTACATCACTTTTCATTTAGCTATGACAAGAGACGGCTTCATCCCTCTGTTGTTATGGGAACACGGTGACGCCATATGCGTATGGCTGTAGCTCTGTGGTGCAGGTTGACATGACATTTATCCCTTTCTCAAAAATAAATACATGCAGTCAAATAAAACTCTTCCAAATAGGACTTTCCCTTTAGGGGTTAATATTTTAATTTTCCTAACTTGTGATTTTCTGTCAGCGTGACGAAATTGCAGAAAACCAGCGGAACTCTAATTGAAAGCAGTTGTTTCCTCCGCAATTAGTTCACGGTTACACCTCACCACGAGCCTGCGCTGAAGCAGACTCGCAACTCAAGGGCTCAAGTGTCCACTCGCCTTAAGAATCTATTTTATTTAATTTTTTATTTTTTTGACCGGTTTATTCTCTATCTGTCAGCATGAGTGAGGAGGAGAAATGGCCCGAAATAGAGAAAGCAGCGGCAGAGAAGAGACGTGAGCTGGTTTTACAGGGCAGAGCTATAAATGAGAGGATTTCCTCCAGCGGGGGGCTTCCCTCCTCTCTTTATTCCCTCCGTCTACTTAATTATCTGGAAGTTAGCCAATGTCCGAGTTTGACAGAGATCCAAGAGGGAATCCAACACCTGACCAACCTCCAGAGCCTCATCCTATGCAGGAACAAGCTGACGTCCGTCCCAGATGTGATCGGCATCCTGAAGTCCCTGAAGGTCCTGGATCTGTCGGCCAACGGCCTGAAAGGTTTGCCGGAGGGGATCACCCAGTTAAAGGAACTGAATACTCTAAATGTAAGCTGCAACTGCTTGGAGGCTCTTCCTGATGGGCTGAGTCAGTGCACCAAGCTGGCGACCATCAATGTCTCAAAGAACCAGCTCACTGCTTTGCCCCCTGACCTCTTCTCTGAGCGGCTGGATCTGCTCAGCACCCTGGTGGCTTCTGATAACTCAATCCACCAGCTGAGTGGGGAGATTTACAAGCTATCAGCTCTGAAGGTAGATTTTTTTAAAACTCTGTTTTTTATTTTTTGGAACGCTGCAAAAATAATTTAAAATGTATCAAAAGTTTCTTAAAATAAGTTTACTTGACTTTAGAATAGAATANGTCATCAGCGATGTGTCTGTCTCACGGCCAGCTCCCAGGTTTGATTAATACTTTGTAATAAATACACCTTGCAGCTATATTTGCTGTAATCAGTGGGAATAAAGTAATTTTAATGTTTTTTAGTGAGAAAATCCACCTGAAAACTTAATCATTGCAGTCAGTTCATCCAGATTATCATCATGCCTTATAGAAACGAGAGGTTACAAAAAAGGAAGGATAGGAAATGAGTGGTTAGATGCATCAGGAGCAGGTCTGATTCAGGGCTAGAAATGTGCATCAGACTCCTGCCCTGCCTCTATAGAGGCCAGATGATTGCTAACAAACTCCAGCTAAGTCTATATTCCTCCTGTCCAAGCAAACATAACTCATCACCAGGATGTGATCAGTAGACAGCTCAGCCCCCCTTTAATATGAGCCTCCAAAACATGCAACCAAAAAAGGTCAGAAGACAGAAAGTCCAAGCCCAAACATTAAAAAAAATTATAATTAAAACACACAAGTATTTTCCTTTTTTTTTTAAACCCAAACCAGAAATCTGATAGAAAATCATTATCTGATTTCAGAATTTTTTTCACTAAACTAAAATAAAAAAAAATAAAAAATATTAATAAAGAGTGAGTGATAGAAGACTCACCTTTAATTATATTTTTGACAAGTATAAAATTCTAAGAAATGTGGGTCTAATCAGGCTGATGGTCAGTTTGCCAAAACAGAAAGCAAGCCAGTTTAACATGATCTCCATGGCAACTGTTGTCATTGGATATAAAGTTTAAGCTATTCATATTCATCCAGCTTGCA